ATCAATGAATCCAAGTAAATCATGACTCCGAAGAAGACAAACTATCTGTGGCACAATGTCTTTTAAAAGATATACATGTGTATTAATTGATATAATTAATCTGACTGTTTTTTCGTTAATCTTACCTCAATGTCACTATATTTTATTGCATAGTAATTATTGGGGGTGCTAATTCTTTTTCTATATTTTTTATACTTTTATAATTTTGTCTTCTTTAGACAGAGATGGTTGGGCTCAAGGACTCGAGGAAATCGATCTACACCTTAAATGCAGCATTCTATCACATGTCTGTCGTAAGCTTATGAACTTAAGCTCCACACATTAACTAGAGACATTACTAAACCCGTTCAACAACTATAGTCCAACTCATGTACAATATCAAATTATTGATATAATCTCTAGACTCATTGATAGAATATGATAGAATCGATAATTCATGTTTTGATGATAGACAAGAAGCGCAAAGAACAATAGCAAATGTACGCAACAAAAGAAGCCAAGCTCGAGTAAAATGGGTCAGCCAAGTAATCAAGAAAATAGTGTTATTTTCAAAAGCCAAAAATAATATATTAAAGGTATAAGTTAATACAAATAAGAAAAACCTTAAATATATTATTAAGGAAGGAAGTTGTATATAATAAGGATTGTACTTTAAAAGGGAATCCTTGTTTAACAATAACTTCCTTACCTTATCTGATAAAGATTGTACAAGGCAAAAGAAATTCTATAAGAAGAGGACGATGCAGATGAAGAATCTCACGACTTCACATAGAGAGAAAAGGGAGAATTATTCATCAAACTGAAGTCTTCAAGATTGATAGGTTTGCTACGTTTAAAACGTTCTTGAGTGAGAAGGTTTTTAACGTGTAGAACTGTTTTCTTGTTTTGTTCTTGATTGTAATTTACAGTTTATTGTAAAAAGGGTGGGTTTGGCTCTTTGTAGGGTTGAGTGTTAGTAAGAGTTGTAACAAAATGTGGGTTTGGCCTTTTGGAGAGATCGATTGGAGTCAATCGAGAAAGGTAGTAGAGATAAGACTTTTGATTATTGAGTTGTAATCACAAAATCTTATAGTTGAATTAATAAAACGAGGTTTTTCCTTCCTTGAGTGAGGAAGGTTTTTAATTCAATAAGTGTTTGTGTCTTTATTTAAAAGCAACTTACAAGAACCTGGTTCTTGTTCTGGGGTAAGGTTTCTTCACTCATATTTGTAATCTCATTTTTTTCACCCGACTCATATTTGTAATCAACAAAGCAATGTCTCATATTATTTGAAATTCCCTTATTTGTCTTCTGTATCGTATAAATCGATTGGAAAAACAACAAATAGTTTGGCTTTGGTACCTTGTTAAGTTATTGGACCAAAAACTAAGTTTTGCTTGTTGAAATACACATACACAATTAAGTTGCCAATGTATTCCAAATAAGCTGACAAAGTTACCTTGGTGATCTGGTTCTTCTGTCAATTCAGGTATGGAACATTTTGTGGTTTCTTTTAAATAGAGTCTAATATACATATCAAAATGTATGATGCTAACATTAAAGATGGAAATGAAAAAGTAAATTTGCTTAACCTTCCTCGCAACTGCAGTGTCCAAATCCAATAATTTGACATCCTTTAGCATTGAGCTAGGCTTAGAATATTTGATTGTCTAATTGAGAGTAATTTTAAGGTGCAAAACATTACCCATGGTAACATTTTAGGACAGTAATTTGCAAGATTTAATTCTAAATTTGCCGGATTGAATGGTCGTGGAATAAACGGTACTGTGAGTAACGTGTTAGGCGTAAAACGTACAATAACGTATTAGGCAAAAAAAGTTACTCAGAGTTAACTTTCTTGATTAAACACCGTTAGCCACAATATTTCACAACTTAATTTTTTAAAAAGAAAATTTTCCTAAAACGTTATCATAAAGTAGGTTTATACTACTTTTATAAAAAAAAATTTAAAAAAATGCATTATTTTGATGAGTTGATTTAAATAGTGACTATAGTTCCCAAAACTGCATTTTTCCATTCTTTTTAAATATGAGGTGTTACACTTTGAATCTTTCAACCTCTCTGAAGGAGAAGAACTTGATCTTATAGATCCATTTTCACCCAACGGGCTTCTTTCCAGGTGGTAAGTCTACTATGCTTCAAGTTCAATTAATTTCCAAAACATCAATTTCCAAATCCATAGCCTTCACCCAATCAGGATTAGCAATAACCTCTTTGAAAGAACAAATTCACTGAGCTGAATAAGCCTTCAATACTTGTCTATAGTCATGATATTTGATTAGTCAATGGATAAGTAAAGCCATTTTTTTAGGCTGAGTTACAGAGTCTTGCAGCCACAGAGGTGGTTTACTTGACCTGCCTCATATTACAATCCAAAAGTTTTAAATTAAAAATATTTAAACAATAGAACCAAAAAAAAAAATTTTTTTTTGTCTTTTTTATATTACTAATAAGAGTTGTTGATTATATTAAATCAAGTGATAAGTTAATAAACATCAATTTTAGCAAACTAATATTTTCAAATATTGACATTGTAATAAAGAAAATATGAAACATAAAAGTTACTTTGATAAATTAGAAGATTCTTTATCTTCTATTCACGTAGATTTGATTATGGAGAGATACCAGAAGGAGGAGTATATTTCATTAAGAAACAATATAATAGTTATGAATGGTTAAAGATAACATGACTTAACATGTTCGAACAACACACCAAATATTAAAACAACCAGTCAAAAATAATACTTTAATAGTCGCTAAAACAAGAAGTTACTCTTGTTTAATTTCTAAAAGTTCCAGCCCCGTATGTAGAGGAAATGAGAGCAACAAGGAGGGGAAATTGCAGAAGCACAAACGAAGTAATCGGTAGGCAAGCCATTGTCGCAACTGGTATAAGAACCCATGCCTTCTTCTGCCCAAACATGAGATACCCCGTTGCACTGAAGCTAATAATCGTTGATGTTATAGAAAGAAACAGAGTTAGCAATCCCATGATAAGACTCCTTGGCAAAGTATGAAGGAAATCTTCTTCTGCATAACGAGATGTCAAAACTGACAAGAACACTAGTAGAGAGGTGCATAACGATGGTAGCAATCAGTGATGCTGCAATTGTGCATGAGCTTGATGTGTCTTTCATCCATTTCTCTCCATCTACTTTCAACTTTTCATGTTCCTCAGTAAAAACCACATATGGAGCTTTCTTCTCAAGATTTAAGCGTCTCCAGAACGAAGACGGGACTATCTTCTTTACTTCCTGATATATATATATATATATATATATATATATATATATACACACACACACACACACACACAATGTAAGTCGATTAATAAAAAACAACCAGCCAAAATGGTTGGATTCATGCCTCAACCATTCAAATGAACAAAAAAGTGGAAAAGCTAAATTTATAAAATCTGCAAATATATGGTAGTTCTACGTATAGAGTACACATTAGGATGGAGTGGTACATATCTAAAGCTTAAAGAAGCATTACTAGTCAACAAGGACTCTGGTGAGAGGCTATTATGTCCAATAATATAACATGTCCTATCTATATTTGACATCAGTACATATATAACTTGGACGTAATAAGATAAAATTAAATCACCTTAAACCACTGTAGTTCTAGTTGCATCTGAAAAGCTGGTCCAGAGACAAGGTTTAGCTTATTTTGTGGTGCCAACTTTCCAGCCAAATCCAAGATTGTATTGCCCGAGGAGTCAAAATAAATCACCAAATGGTTTAGAATCTGGCTCATCTGACAGACCAACTTAAACACATTTTTGCAGCGATTCTTTATTGCAATGTGTAAGATATTCTTCCCATTATGATCCTCATAAAAAGTTAAATGAGGGAATTTTTTGAGTATACGTTCAACAAGCTCATAGTTGTCATAACACGCTGCATCAAGCAGAGAATTGGCAACAATAGAGTCAACTTCTTCGTAATTCAGATTTTCTAGTTTCTCGCATAAGCATGTTGCATACTTAACTGCATTGTGATGAATTGACTTTTTGTCACGGACGTGTTTCAAATAAGGCACTGCAACAAAAGACATAAAGAACAAAGAAACTAGTGTAAGTGCAAAATAGAAACTCTTAACTGGTCTAAAAAATATGTGAAATCCTTAGACATGTATAGATAAACTTGCAGAATTAGATGACATGTATCTGTTGGAAAAAATGATAATCATATCGAGGATAATCTCCATAGTAAATATATTAACAAGAGAGTTATAACGACACAAAATATTAAAATGGAGTAAATATAATACCCGAATAAGTAATACAATAAAATTGATAAAAACATGCTAGTATTAAAATTCGTCTACTCTTTTATAAGAAACAACACTCTGTTATTTCTACAACTCACAATAATATTACTTCCTCACTTTTTTCTCACAAACTAAAAAATAGCTTGTGGATTATCCTCTGTGCTCTATATTTTTTGTGTATCTTCAAGTGTTAAATTACTACTATATTTATAGAGTTTTGAGCCTCTTGATTACGTCATTAGTGACATAAATGTGGCAGCCAATTTCCACAAAGTTTGACTCCCAAACTCTACAAGAACTCTACAAACTTCCACAACTGTGGCCGCCAACTTTTACATTTGTCGCTATCAACTGTCACATATGCATCTAGCAATTTCGAAAAGTATGGTTGTCAAACTAGTTGTTGCGGAAAAACAAATGAAAAATAAAAAAATTAGTTGTTGCGAAACTTTTGTTCCCGCAAACCTCTCACTTAGTTATGATTTTTCTTCTTTACTCAAGGGCTTTATCTCAATTGTAACACCCCAAGAATTTCTAAGCTAAGACCCAAACTATTCTTTGATGTAAGGTCTTTCCGGGTTATTCACAAATTTCTTATATATATAAAGGTAAATTCTCTAGTATGGAAATGATTTTTGATATCAATAAAGGTCACTAAAAACATCTAGCACACACTTGAGTTGAAATTTCTTTACTGATTAAGTTTTGACGTAAGATTTTACTATCAACTTTAAATAATAATATATCTTAGAATATAAAGAGTTACGTGGTCGATAACCTATAAAATTAAAGGTATTTGAATCTTCTTTTTAACGCAACTAATTTCGTGTAAATATGAGTTTCGAGTAAAAAGTAAATACCATTTTAGTAACCTGATACAATGTAGTAGTGTAGTGACGAATTAGTCGATGGAAAAACATTTAAAAGGGATTTTTCTGTCTTTTTACCTCTAAAAAAAATACTAAACGTATCTTTTGACTAATTAATGGCTCAAAACAATCAGATTTTCATCTCTTAATCCCTTATTTTCTTCTATCTCAAAACCCTAAGGCGAAACCCTAAGGAAAAATCAAAGTCGAAGACTCTATTTAAGATTCTTTCAATCTTTTGTCAAGATTCTTCTTCAAGGTATGTCCTTCTATAAGAATTTTATTCTTTTCAACTCAAATTCTTCCATACAATTATAAATCACTATAGAAAATCATCATTCTTTGTTGTAGAGATTTCAAGAAACTAAACTCAAGAATCTTAAGTAAGGTTTTCTTTATTGTTCTCCTTCAAAATAGAGTTTCAGGACTTCTAACTAAGTTCTTCTTCAAGATTCTTCAAGAACCTTGTTCTTTCAAATATGGAAGGTTATCATAGCGTTTGACTAGTTTGTCCTCACGCCCTACATCTACTTTCTAATAAATAAAAGAGTAATCTAGGATTCTTTCCCTAGATTTGTATATTTTTAGGATAAGTTGATTTTGAGTTTAAAGTTCATGTTTCTTTTTGAAATTCTATTCATTATTATTCAGTTTCTATATGTGATGCATTAGGAATATTGAGTTGATTCGTTCATATCGATATTTCAACGTAAAACCTATAAATTGATTATTCTTGATATGAGTAGTGTCGTTGAGTTTTGAGTTTTTGAGTTCTGAATGAGTTGAGTCGTTCACGTCAATATTTATGCATGAACCCTATGAATTGATTTATATATCTTAAGACGCTTTTTAAAGACAAGATTTGAGTTTTAAACTTATTTTTTAGAAAGTAAAGATGAGTTTTTACAAAGAATTTCTAAAACATGATTAGTATCATAATTGAGTATGCCATCAATTTTTAAGCAATGTGGTATCTAGATATACCAACTACGTTCATGCAGTCATCAATGATCATATCTCAATATGATTTTGATATGTATATTTTGAGAAAGAGTTTTCAAGTATGAATTGAGTAAGAGTATAAGAAAACTAGGTATTAACAAAGGTATCATTTTTTATATTTATAGAAGAGATACTTTGATTTGTTATGAGTTATGAGCTCAAAGATATTTCAAGAGTAGTTACCTCTTTTAAGAAAATAGTTTGAGCAATTATCGTAAACCAAATGAAGAGTATGTTTTTATACATTGAGCATGAGCATGAGCAAAAATTAGTGCAAGCAGTATTGAGCACCGATATGGGAATTAGTTCAGACAATTCACAATCCTCATAAACCATGTATGTCAACATGGGTACATGATCATACTTTTTAGATGAATCATAAGTGCCTTCGGGTAGAGCTTAGATGTTCCACATAGTTGAGGTTTCCTATACTCCAGCAAGGTATATGACAGTTCTGGCAGTGTGGGTGAGATGTTGTATTATCATGTAGCTCATAGTGATGGTTGTCGGCTCCCAAATAGAGTTAAAAATGTTGAGTTTAGAAATGAGTAAGTATTTCTGTAAAATATTAATGATTTCACTTCTTTTTCTTTACATTCAGTTGAGTATATACCTATATCTACTACATTCCATTTATTTAGTTATTTGTTATTCAGCTACATTACATACTCATACATTCAATGTACTGATGTCATTCGACCTACATCATAATGATGCATATATAGGTTTTTAAAATCCTTAACAATAGTATGTTGAGATCCCTTTATCCGCTTGTCAGTTTCCGAGTGAGGTCTTCTTGCTTTTGGAGGACTCTAGTTTTATGAGTTGTTAGTATTACTAGTATTTTTAGTAGTCGTGAGTCTATTTCCGACACTCATCTATATATAGTAGAGGCTTGATAGATAGACAATTTTGGAGTATTCAATTTCAGATATTTTATTTAAAACTTATTTTTCATATAAGTATATTTATCTATGTTTTCAGATTCATTAAACTATTTTAGACATTTTTTCGATTTGATACTTATGTATGCTTGAGTTAGTCTTCCGCTTGTAGTCAGTCAGTATGATGGTTCGCTTCTTGACCAACAATGGTTCTTGAATACTAACCACATCCAGGGTGTAGGCTCGGCTCGTGCCAAACATGATATCAGAGCATAGAGTTCAAGTGTCCTAGGGTGTCTATAAAGTTGTGTCAAAAAAATCTTATTTATGGTTGTGAGGGTCCCATTTCTATAAATGAGGGACTACACATATTTAAGAAAAATATCTCTTCTTCCATACTCTAAATCGTGCAATGGAACTATGTCGAAAAGAACTCATTCAAACTCATGCATTTCTAAAATCCGTTCGACTACACCTCATACTCAAGGTAGTTGAAAAGCAAAATCACTTCCTTATCGATGATTTACTCTCTGTAAAAGTCTTCAAAAATTCATGAGAGTGTAGAATGGTTAGACATAAGCATGTGAGTGAGCTTAAGTGTTGAGATTCAAAAGAATGCACTCTTATTTATATAAATCATGGGTACGAGCTAAAAACAAGATGTATTTCTAGACTCTCTTTTTGCAAACCTCGTTTCATTTTAGACTATTATGAGTAAATGTTCTTTAGAGATTTTTTCGTATTTTCACCCAAAAAGATAGTATGAGTTACGATGTTATAAGCATTAATAGTAAAAGTTCCTAGAATCAGAAGGATGAATGCTGAGGTATAGTAATCTAAAAAAGGGAAATAGTGATGAGGCAAATTATGTTATGGTAGTCATGCACCTAGAAAGTTATTAATGAGGAGTTTTCCCTTATGGGTTTGACTAAGAAGTGACGAGTTTGTGAAGATTCCATGATAGGAGGTACAATAAGAGTTACTAGTTGCGATTAGTTAGAGTATCTTTAACTAGAAAAGAGTTTATGATGAGGTTTCATTGTGTTATTAACGACCAACTGTAGGAGTTGAATAGAAGGGCAGGAGTATTCATGAGGTGTTAGATCTAAGTTAAGCTTATGATTTTTGAGGGAGAGCCCATAATATTTGGAGGGTTACAAAATTAATTAGGCAATGATGTATAACGACTGAGTAAATAGTTCTTAATTTTGGAAGGACGCGTGATGGTGGATTTTAAGTATGTAGACTGAGAGATAAAAATTGACTGCTTGTCATGAGGTCTTAGTGAGTGATTTTATCTAGTATTTGTCAGTTAGTATAGTAAGTGAGCAATCATATTGATATCATGGATGAGTAATAAACATTAAGCTTAAATTTTAGATGAGCTTCATGATAATAAGAACAGCAACATGAGGGTTATGATGTTAGTCTTGAGCTCAGATCTGGTAGACTTCACATAGAGTAGGTGAGAAATTGAGATGTTAACTACAATTAATATGAGTGGTACAAGTGAGAGATCCTAACTTTTAGATCAGGGAACTGAAGTGTGGTTAAATCATAAGAATAGTAAGAGCATTAAGAGGTGTACCCGAGATTATATGTAATCAAATGAGGTTCCAATTAAGTTTCTTGTTCTCATGTATGCCTAATATATTTGAGTTATCAATGTGGATTAGTCTTATGTAAGAATTGTTTATTACCCTTAAAAGTTTGGTAGAAAGGATTTTATAAAGTCAATAATGAGCTTCTTAAATACATCTTTAGTAGCATCATGGGCCAGAAAACTGCATGCTAGCCCATGCCAACATTGGTGTAGTCACTTTAAATTTATTAAATATAAATTTATAAAGTTATTTAGATTACATTTAATTAATAAATATATAGTTGAAACTGTAACATCCCAAAACTTGAAATAACTAGGAAGAACCTAATAATTAGAAATAGTCATATTTGGAAATAATGGAAATTTGAAAATTTTGTTGAGTTTGTATGAGTTGATTTGGTCAACTTCAAACGGCCATAACTAATAAATCAGGATGATTTAGGTATACTTCCTGATATGGTAGGAAAGCAATTGTAATGATCTTTCCAACTGCGCCATGTTTGCACGATTTTGAGTTCGTAAGAGTGAGTTATGCCCTTTTAAAGTTGGGTTGTTCAAATAAGAAAAGTCTAAAACCGGATTTTAGAAGGGTAGTTTGCTCTTTTCCTTACCCAACTTAATTAATTCACTTTTAGGAGCTGAATTGGGGTAAAGTCAGATTTTAATCAGTTTAGGAAGAGAGAGTTTCACGCTAGGGCTTGGAGAAAGGATAAAAGAGGAGAAAGAAGAAGAGAGAGCAAGATTTGTCAAGATCGTCGAGTTTAGCTTGTGGATTTCGTCAAGGGGTGATCCCTACGAGGTATGTGAGGTCACATAGCGTTGGGTTAGTTCACCCACGCGCCAAGCATGTTTAATTCAATGTAGTTTTATCTTAAAAGATTGAGAATTTGAAGTTCTTAATAGTTGTTCTTGCATTGATTTTGTTCTTGAATATGAATTGAGATTAAGGAGTTTCTTGATGATTAAGGGTGTGTTTGGTATGGAGGAAAATGTTTTCCTAGAAAATGTTTTTTTCTGGAAAACAAGTAGA